CCTTTTTATGTGTAAGAAACCAGAAAAAAAACAGCAGCTGAATTGGTATTTGTGTATCCATGACCTCCCTATCCTGAGTTCAAGTCTCTGTCTTGACGTAATAGGTTTACTTTTTTTCCTTTTTTTTTTAATGACTTGGATAAAAACAATTTCTAGGTCCACCACTGGATAGCATCTAATCGTTGACGGCAAATCTCAATGAAATAAAATTTCCCCAAAATAAGTAATGCAGGAACAAGCTTAATTGGAAACCAAAAAAAAATCATTTGAAAAATGAAAGCAATAATGGCGTCACACAAAAATTGTGTTTATTGTTTGACACGACTATTATCACGCTCACTTTAATTGTGTGGTTCAGTAGCAATCTTGGGACGAGTATATCAAACTCCTGATGAGTTGTGAATAGCTTTTGCTTTATTTTTTTCCGATTACATCAACTTAGAAAATAGTCTCTGTTTTTTTCTAAATTTTATGCAACACGATAACCCGTTTTCAAATAATTAGGACCGGCCACATTATGATTTCATACAGTATTTTGTACACACTATACTATTCATTATTCAAATTATGATTCAAACAAAGGAAACTCCAATCTACACTTTTGAATATATACATATAAAAATATATTGGTACAAGTAAATGATATCCTTCATAAACGCTAATTTAAAACATCATGTCAAATTATGGTTAACCCAACAAAAGAATAAAAACTTTTTGAAAAACAAAAAGGAAAAGAAGACAAAATAAGACTCAACGAAAACAGTGAAGTGAGCCAGCTATTTTATTTATGATAATTAATAATGATATACTTGTAAAACTAATTAAGAAGAAAATGGAATAAAGTTGACCAATTCATGGTAGCCACGATTAGTGAGGGACAAAATAATTTGGACCGGACTTTTGACAATTTTATTCGACCCTACAACATTTCTATTTACACTCCTCCCCTTTACTCTTAGATACATCCCCTTCAAAATCATTATCATTTCTTTTACATTTATTTATTTTTCGTAAGTTTTTTTTACCATCTATCTTTTATATGCAAAAAAAAAAAAAAAATTGTATAGTCGCTAAGACTGAGCATGATTATCAAGGGTATTTTATAAATTGTTCTTAAGAATATTAAAGTAATAAATTTAAAAATAGCTCTAAAAATGGTTTTAAGTGTGTATTTGTTTCTTAGGTAAGCAACTCACCTTAGTTTTAAAGCTTATTTGGAAATTAATTTTAATCATTTAATTGCTAAGATCATTTTTAAAAAATCTTAAGATCCTCTTGTTAATCATGGTCTTGTTAATAAAACCACATGCACATAAAATTTATGATTTATATTGTCGAAGATATTGCAAGCATTGTGCTTATAAAAGTAACTAATCAGACTTGAGTAATCTTTTTACGACGAAGTCAGTGGTTAACTAAATTTCATCCAAATTAAATGTAAGAAATCTCAAAGTTAAGTCTAAGAATCATCTTTACAGTAATTTTAGTTCCTACAGCTTTTTAATTTTTTTTTGGTTGTAGTAGCTTCTTGCCCCGAAGCCTCTATATATAACAATGTTCTTTTTGGTAGTATAAATTCACATTTTATCAAAAAAAAAGGTAAAAACAAATCACAGTTACTATCTCTGTAATGCCCCGCGATGTGACATGGGGCTTTAGAACAAACAGTCGATTCACGTCTTTTAAACGGTCCTGATTTGTTGCTCCACTTCCAACAATCTCTACTTCACCACCACACACGCATAACGCATTCATAATCATACATTCTCATGATTTATTGTTTTGTTTCGATTATATCTGCGTACTCAATGTTACCAAATTTATATTCTATGACATAATGTGATTTAACTTCAAGGGAATGGACGAAATTTAAATGACTATCTTAGTCTTAGGAGGTATATATTCTCCGGATATATAGACCTCTTATCTATATCTACACATATTTTTTTTTATTTAAACCGAGACCACTCATTCCTTATTCCATAAAACTTAGAAAAGAGTATGTATATTTAGGCATAAGTTATAAAAGCGAATAAAGGCTTCATGAAACTTATACCTTAGAGACATAATTATAATTAAATCCAAGACACTTCATAGTCATACGATAGTGAGGACAAAGCAATAAATTAGTGTTTTAACTTTGATTCTAACGAGTTGTGACGGGTCATGACAGATTTTTTTAATAGATATAAAGGAATAACTTTAAAAGTATACAAATTGTGCAAGAGTCATTCAAAATTATTATATGAAGAGATGAACTCAAAAGTAATTTTAATCATAAGTATATACATCTCAAGGATATCTTTTCTTTATCATGTAAAATCTTGTTTTCACCTATCTATCTTGTTAGTAAAATATAGGATTTATATAGAGTAATTTGAGCCTCACTTGGGATGTGATTATACTTCTTCTCATAATTTGTATATTTAATTTACCGGATAGTTTTTGCATGGGGAGATTAAAAGGCTTAATAAGACCAAATGCAATAGCAAGGTAAATAGGGTGTATTTTCATTCAATAGGAAGACAAATCCAAAAGGCAAAATGCCAACTCAATCGACAACGGCAAATTTTGTCTTCCATGAAATTTTGACGGGTCCTACATAACTTTTGATATGGCAGCTTGTGATTCGCTCGCTGTTTTATTTTTTATTTTTTTTTCCATTCTTATGCTATTTTTCTCAATAATTGATCAAAAATAAAAAAAAAAATTTATACCATTATTTTTTATTTTTTAACATCTATAAATAGAGACTACGTTTATATCATTTGGACACCAAAAAAAAATCTCAAGTTTTAACACTCTCTTTTCATTTTTCTCTTACATTGTCACTATTTTTGGTGTTATTTTTTTTTCAATTTTCAACATCCTTTATGGATCCATCTCGCAATCAAAATTTCCTACCAAATTATGGTTTTCCAAACCCTCAAAATCCAAACATACAACCACCAAATCCAAATACACAACTCCTAGAAAATCCTATAAATTCAGGAATGTATCCAAATTTAGAAATATCAAAATTTATTTCTAAGTTTATTAATGTTTGGTGTTTGTTTTGTTGTAAAGTTTTAATGAATTATGTATGATGGAGTGATGTGGAAGAAAGAGAAAATGAGTTGGAGGAAAGAGAAAATGATTAGCCTTTCTATTGTAGAGTTGGATGTGAAATAAAAAAATAAAATGATGTGGAAGGAATATAGAAGGGGAAATTTGCCTTCTTACTAGAGATGGTCTAAAGCCTCCAATTTCCGAGGGGAAAATCATATGTTATACTTCCAAACTATACAACCATCTGCATCGATTCAATCAAAATAATTGGCGTTAATACATGCAAGGATTGTACATACAAACAAACCACTTCTTTCATTACAAAATTCTTCAATATTTTATTTTGGTAAACTACTGTTCTTCTTACGTTTGTTTCTTTTTTTGCAAGTATTAGAGGTTAATACAAAAAAGAGTGCACAAGAAAAGAAAAAAAATTGGACTGTGAGTAGAGGTGTCAATTAACAATTTTTCAATAAAAAAAACTTTTAGGATTAATTTTTTGTAAATCTTATAATTTTATACATTAAATATATTATTTATTTATATTCTAAAAATATTTATTTATTTATATTAATTATTTATTTTTATTAAATATTTGTAGTCCGCGGGCCGGCCCACAAATCCGCGGACAAAACCCGCAAAAACCCGCAATCCGCCTGGGCTTGTCCGCGAGGCCCGCTATTTTATGGGCATGAAAAATGATATCCAAGCCCGCCCCGCTGTGGACTACTTGGACAAAGCCCGCGGGCTATCGGCCCGCTTGACACCTCTAACTGTGAGTCCTTGTCAAGAACCATCGCTTTATCATCATTCTCTTTGCTAACAACTTACAACCACACAAACCCAAGAGTTCCATTCTCATAGAGAAGAACAAATTAAGCAAAATAATGTATGTCGATAGAGAAAGATATCCACAATTATTGCTCCATCCCAAAAGCTTCTTTAGTACACGATACATGTATCATGTAAGTAGAAATATACAAGATACGATACACGACCCATTCTCATAAAGATAGCAACATTTCATGTTATGTAAAGAGGCTCCCTTAGGACACATGCATTAAAAACTAAGGATTACCAACCCACTCACTCTTCACTTCAACGGTTCAACCAAATATCAATCATCTATTTTAGGTCCTTACTCATAAGTCAACTCTCATGTCTTCCTCTATAAATACCCTACACATCCCTCAATTCTATATCATATTCCTAAAAACAATCATAGCAAAAACATATATCCTCAAATTAAGATCTCATCTCTCTCTCTCTAGCCTCGATATGGATCATGAGGAAATTCCATCAATGCCCTCAACGCCGGCTACAACCCCGGGGACACCAGGAGCACCGCTCTTTGGAGGATTCGAAGGGAAGAGGAATGGACACAATGGTAAATACACACCAAAGTCACTTCTAAAAAGCTGCAAATGTTTCAGTGTTGACAATGAATGGGCTCTTGAAGATGGAAGACTCCCTCCGGTCTCTTGCTCTCTCCCTCCCCCTAATGTCTCCCTCTACCGCAAGGTACATCTATATACACATTCTCATTACAATTACTTCACACTTCATATATATAATTATGTTTCCATTACAAATATTTGTGTGTAAATTAGTTGGGAGCAGAGTTTGTTGGGACATTGATCCTAATATTCGCTGGAACAGCGACGGCGATCGTGAACCAGAAGACAGATGGAGCTGAGACGCTTATTGGTTGCGCCGCGTCGGCTGGTTTGGCGGTTATGATCGTTATTTTATCGACTGGTCACATATCCGGGGCGCATCTCAATCCGGCTGTCACTATTGCCTTTGCTGCTCTCAAACACTTCCCTTGGAAACACGTCAGTACTTTTAACTTTATTTGTTTTTACACACTTTCGGATGTTACTGAGAGAAATTTATAGACATGCACATGCATGTTTATCATGAATTCAACTTTAACATGAGTAATAAAAATATAAAAAAATATCATGTAAAGCGATTTCTAATAATTAAAAAACAATTGTTGGTGTCTAAAATCTAAATGATGTTACAAAAATAGGTGCCGGTGTACATCGGAGCTCAGGTGATGGCCTCCGTGTGTGCGGCGTTTGCACTGAAAGCAGTGTTTGAACCAACGATGAGCGGTGGCGTGACGGTGCCGACGGTGGGTCTAAGCCAAGCCTTTGCCTTGGAGTTCATTATCAGCTTCAACCTCATGTTCGTTGTCACAGCCGTAGCCACCGACACGAGAGCTGTAAATTACTTATCAAAAACAATTTTGAAGAATCTTGAATTTTAGACTTTTTAGTCGTCTCAAAAAACTAATCACAAGATTACAGGTGGGAGAGCTGGCGGGAATTGCGGTAGGAGCAACGGTCATGCTTAATATACTCATAGCTGGGTAATTTCTTGATTTCAGTTGTTGTACATGTAATCATATGTTTACTCATCATGTTTG